GAACGTTCAAACCCAATTTTTTCGAAAACGAAACTTCAGACAAAAAAGTTATTCTTTCGTTTTCGATTTATTTTTTTTTTATAGAATCATCTGCTACCCAGTTGTACTACTCAACCCGAGACACTCGGTATGGAAGATACATTGTATGTTAATTAAAGATTGAATTTTTCATTTACATATTTCATTTACATGACCAGACAAACTCTGCATTATCATTTGCAAGTTAATTCATGCGGGATCAATAGATGTTAAAAATATCGCGTGCTCATCATCCCCAATTACAAGTTCCATTGAGTGCTCGTTTCTCCATGCGCAGAACGACGAAGTTTCCGGTATCAATAGTACCACGAGCCGCTCGAGGAAGTAGTAAACATAAATACCACTCTTACTCTCGTTCAGCGACAATCGATTACCTCCCACTACGAAACTGCGCGAAATCTCAATGGCAACCACGATCAGCCACGAACGACCACCACGCACCATTCATGATTCACAGCGGCGATTCCGAAACGATTCACTTCGTCCTTATTCGCCACTTACCCCCGTGGAATAACAGTGCTGCGTCTCGAAATGAAAAACGACCGTTTTCAAGTCCATAAATGCCATGAATTACTCATTCCGAGTGGTGTCGAGTGAAACGTGGTCCGGCCGGCTCGAAGAAAAACCGCCGACGAAGGGTCTCCATTAAGACGAATCGACAAATCCCCGGACTTATATCACGGTCGACGATAAATTATATATTACCGTCTATCCTCGGGTTAGCCAGCTTCTCGACGTGTCATTGATCAGACGCGCGTGAGCGAAAAAAAAACCTAGTACGTTTGCACTATTCATGCCAAGTTGGCCGTCTCGGAGAGGGATCAATAATGTGTTTCAATTTGTCACGGCAGCCCAAGGCCATTTCTCCGGTCTCATTAATGGCGTCTCGTTCCGTTTCATCACCGACATTTCCTTTGGTTACACCATGCGGACACACTTGTGGTTCACTCCCGACTTCCGGCGAACCGGTCCCGTCCGGCTTCAGGCCGACGAGGTACGATGCCGCGGCCTGACTGCAGTGTGTCCACGTGCTTCTCTGTGTGTATTCGAACGATAACACAGCATGCTATCTTATCAGCAATGGGCGATCGAGGCGCCATCTGGTTGGTTCTCGAGGAAACCTGTGACTTACGCTCGCCATCTCTCAAAGGGTGGTGATAGCTGATTTTGGGGATGAAATGCTGTCGGTAATACTTGCGTGAAGATTGTTGTTAGTGAGCTCTATGTGATGGATATGTCAGTTATAATTGCTGAATGATTGTCCGATAGAATTATGAAAATTGTATTCTTATTTAAAAGGTGAAACGAATGAACCCTTTTCGTGACATTTTTTTAATGTTTCGTGAATGCAGGTTTTCAATTTTGTCGCTGAAGTTAAACGGTATAAGTTACAGAACTTTGAGGCTTTATAAATACGAGGGGTTTCGGGAATATCTTGATAGTGAATCAATTAATGGATTATTTACTAAAAGAAACAACTAATAAAGTTGCAGTTACATGAGTAACGTGATTGAAAGTTGGTATATTTACGAGAAGTGAATGAAACATGTGAAGTAAATTCTTTATTTCTGGGATTTATCGTTCTTTTCAGTGTAAATTATAGATACAGTCTGAAATATATGCCTCTTTTTTAGTTTCCGACGCGTTCCGAACTGTGACGGAGATGGCCGGAGCAGGCGAACGGGAGCGAGCGAGAGCGGAAG